GGTCACACAGAGCACAACCCCACAACACAGAGCTCCTGGACACAGAGCACAGACCATACAGTCCAGGAGGTGTCCCAAGTGGTCACCAGGCGCAGGATCCGTGTACCTGGAATGGCTTCAGGAAAATCTCATCCATCGCCAGGCGCCCGTACTCCGTGAACAGCTGGGGGGAGAGACACATGATTAACCAGCAGGACTGACTGTACTGTATGTGCACTCTGCAGCTCATTTTCACACTCGCTGACGGCCTCCCTGACCACACTGACCTGCAGCTGCTGCAGGTCGTCTTCCTGGATGTTCTGGGACAGGTTGTAGATCTGCAGGAGAGGGGCAAAGAATCAATCAATAATCAATCAATTAATCCAGCCACCCACTCACAGACCTGGGGGTAAGTGTACCAAGAGGAAGGGAGACAGAGGGTGGACAGAGAGCTGGACACTGTACTGAGGGGTGGACAGAGGGCTGGACACTGTACTGAGGGGAAGGGAGACAGAGAGTGGACAGAGAGCTGGACGCAGTACTGAGAGGGAGGGAGACAGAGAGCCGACACTGACCTGCACAGAGCTGGTCATGGTGCTGAGGGCGAAGATGGTGGCGCAGTCCTTCACGGTGGACTGGCTGTCGAAGGCGCCCTGTGTGTCCATCAGCAGCACAGCCACCTGCCAGACCAGCAGTCAGACAGATAATTATTCTCTTCACAAGGATTCTTTAACAGGCACAGTCCACAAAGAGCAAGAGACCCAGAGAGCTTCACATCCAGAACAGGAACCACTTTACCCCCCCGAAGAGCCACCTGGGAGACGCACAGCGGCCCCACCTGGGAGACGCACAGTTCTGACTAGGGCAGTTGGGACAATCTGCTTCGCAAGGGGGATTATGGGTGAGTTTCAGGAAGGACAGGCTGTCCCAGCGTGGAGTAGGGTTTCTCCAGGACCCCAGCACTGACACCCCTGCTCTGTACAGGAATCAGTCCCCAGGTTAAGATCTCACCTGAGGGACAGCGCCTCCCACAGCTGAGGCACTGCGCTACAGAGAGACCGGCGCCCCC